AAGCAATCTATTTCTAGCTATCGCCCCATCTGTATTCGTTCTTCCCTAAGCAAAGTCATCGAAAAACTGTTAATAACTCGGCTAAACAAGTACCTTAATGAATTTAATATACTGAAGCCGTGTCAATTTGGCTTTCGCGCTGGAAGTTCTACTAACCTTGCTATCCTTTCCCTATCAGATTTCATCAAACACTCCATAGACGCAGGATTTGTAGTAAGGTAAGTTTTCTTAGACTTCTTAAAGGCATTCGATACCATTATTCATCTCATTTTATCCAAAAAACTCGAATCATACGGTATTACAGGTCCATCCCTCAAATTTTTAAACAGTTACCTTCTTAACAGAAAGCATACTGTTTACATATCGGGCTCATTTTCTTCTACTAAAACAATAAATCAAGCGGTTCCTCAAGTGTCATTACTGGGTCCGTTACTTTTTATACTTTACATTAAAGACCTTCCTGACATCATACACATGGCTCACTGCGTTTTATATGCTGATAATACTACCAATTCTATTGCTGATAGATTTATTGACAACGTCACTAAATAATTAAATGCTGTACTTTGTAGCGTGCCAAGATGGTGCCAGGAAAATTTCTTAATTACTAATCCAAATAAATCTAAGTTAATGGTTTTTAGATCAGCTCAACGCAAGTTAACTTCCTCACCACAGTTCACAGTTGACTCTCATTTGATTAATATCAGCGACAGTGTGTCTTTTTTTGGCGTTCACCTCAACGCTAACCTTAACTTCGCTCTCCAGATTGCTCACATTAGAAAAACGACAGCATTCGGCATTCGCGCATTACTCAAAGCTCGCTCATATTTTTCTCATGAAGCACTCCTTTCACTTTCCCTCGCATTCATTCATTCTTATATCACTTATAACATCGCATCATGGAGGAGTACTTACCAGAGTCATCTTTCATCCGTACAACATCTACAAAATTGAGCTATTCGCGCTATTTTTAACTGTTCTCGCGACAGTAGCACCACTCCCTTTTTTCTATGCAATAAAATCTTAACTGTTAGCTATCTGTTCAGGTTTAATCTAATTCTGTTTCTGCATAAACAAATAAGAAATCAACTTTCTGCAAATTTCATTGATCCTACGATGTTAGTTAATACTAACGCAACCAGATTTGCGGCTAATAATAACTTTTTACTTCCTAAGGTTCATACTAACTATGGTAAATCATCTTCTCTCTTCTGTACCATCACCATATGGAATAATTTGCCCACTTCGCTAAAATTCAAAGTTTCTTTATTTTCATTTAAAAACACAATAGTTGATCTATCTTCTTTGTGTTGTTTTATGCTGTATTATTTGTGTTTTGGTTCCATGCCTTTTTGTTTTCATTCTGCTTTATATATTTTTTTCTACAATTCTAACAGCTGCTTGTGCTTTTATTATTTGTAATCATCACTGAGGGTCCCGTTGCATTCTTGTACTTTGGGACCCTCGTCTGTATACTTTACTTCCTGTAACATCCTTTTATGACAAGAAAATAAACTGATTGATCGACTGATGATTGATTGAATCCGTCCGCATGGCGAACACACGATGACAAGCCGATCTGCTTCTCGTGTCAACAAATCGGGTACATTTCCTGCCATTGTAGAAGTCGCTGGGGCCCTCCTGCACAAGCTTCGTCTCGTACCTTCCATGCACGTCCAGCCTATTGCCGCGAGATCAGCCCCGACATTTATGCCCAGGAACCCGCTACTTAACACGCCTACTCCCGCTCTTCATTGGCCCCAACGTCACCAGTTTCGTTCTACACTACCCCGCTGACCATCTTTCCCCGCATTCCCACGAAGTTTCCCGACAATAAAATAAGATGTGCAGCCCCCGCAAGTGGCGCTGTATCACTCGGACTGACAGAAAATCCTCTCTTCACCATACAGACAAAACGGAACCTTATAGATGTTCAAATAGATGACGCGCATGTGATTGCTCTTGTCGATACGTGCGCTCAACTTTGCGTGATAACGAGTGATTTTTACAGCCAGCCTAAGAGGGTTCTCACACCTGCAACCACTCAGTTCGCCCGTGTTGCGGATGGCGGAATAGCATCTATCGTTGGCATGTGTTCCGCTCGTGTAAGCATCATGGATTGACACAGTTGTTTTCTTCACTGTCCTTGACAAATACGCTCACAACGTCATCCTGGGCCTCGCCTTCCTGTCCGCGCGTTCTGCACTCATAGACTGTGACCAGCACGCTTTTTCTACACTTGCCCGCAACAGAACCTCTTGCACAACGGTCGAGTCGCCTCTGCACAACGGGACATGCGCGCCTCCCTCCACAAACACTGTCCTACGTAGAGCTCGTCTCGATACCACCAGTTCCAAATGGTGACTATGTTCTGACCCCTATAACCAATGTCCTCATCAACAGCGGTATTACATTACCGCACATTGTTTTGTCCAACGCAGGGGATTCCACATGTCTTTCAGTTGTCAACTTTAGTTTGACACCTCAAGTGCTGCCACATTAGATCTCATTGGTGTTGCTCTACACCTCAGAAGTCAACGCCGTAGATGTTTTCACGATGGCGGCTCCTTCTGACCCACACGCTTAACATCAATGTGACAATTGCTCCGACAGCGCTATTAGGTCGATGATTGCTTCCAACTTCACGCCACAGCAGACTGACAAGCTCCACCTGGTTCTGCTGTCCTACATCGAGGTTTTCGACCTCAGTGGCCGTCCATTAGAGAAAGCTAGTGGTAAGACCCACCGCATGAACTCTAGTAATGAGCGTCCTATTCATAGGTGTTCATATCCGGTTTCGGCGGCCCAGCGTGACATTACTCAAAGTGCTCTCGACGAAATGCTCGCCAAGGAGATCCTTGAGCAATCCTGCAGCCCTTGGGTATCTTCTGTCGCGCTAGCTCCCCCAAAAGACGGCGCATGACGTTTCTGCATCGGTTATCGACACGTAAACAAAATTACTAAAAAAAGGAAGTGTATTCCAAAAATGACATGTAGCTCTACCGACAAGCTATGCAACCGACGTCGCTGGCTTCGTGTTACGGGATGTTATATAGGTTCACATTGCTTCGAGATAACTATTCACAGATCATGGCGGTATATTTCTATCCCAAGTCATCACCGACTTCCTGCGTTCTTGTTCCACGCAACACACACTGACCACGGCTTACCACCCTCAAACAGCCTCGCGAAACGCTTTAATCATACTCTCACAAATATGCTCGCTATGTACGTGTTGCCCGATCACCGAGACTGGGACCTTGCCTTACCCTGCGCAACTTTCGCATATAATTCATGCCGTCACGACGCAGTGGACTTTTTGGCGTTCTACTTACTGTACGGAAGAGAGTCGACTTTACTACTGGCCACAGTCATCTCAGCTCACGCCTCGTCCACCAGCGAGTATGCCCGCGACGCGACTGCGCGAGCCGATCGTGCCCGTCAGCTCGCCCGCGCTCGGCTGATGGCGTCGCAGACCAATCAACGCCGTCAGTATGATGCGGATCATCGAGACGTACAGTACATTTCGCTCACGGTACCCTCGTCTTACTCTGATCTCCTCATCGGCGGGTGTGCCTATCAAAAAACATTCGTCTCATTACACGGGACCTTACCGTGTTTTGCGTCAAGTATAACCGGTCACTTATGAGATCAGACCCATTTATCCATCATCTGCTGTGTAGTCCAGTGATATTGTACACGTCTCGCGGAACAATCCCTGCAACAGTACGTGAGATAACGACCTTTAAAGCACCGAGACTGTGCCTCCGCCGCCGGGGGTCATGCTACGTGCCAGTGGCATTGAGATGAAGAGAACAAATCAGATTGACTGGCGCTAGCTAATCTGTGTGACTGGCACTGTTTGCTTAACTAGCTCTAAATACATCTGTGTGTACTATTCAGAGTCAGTGTTCTTCTCCTAACAATATTTTGCGATTATGACCAGCATTTCGCACCTGCTTCACATGTGCATGTTTTCTCACTGCACCCCTTCTCGAACACCGGCGCACTTACAATCATGTCATCATCTTGCATAATACAGTTCACACTGGTCTGAGAGTTCTAACACCCACATCCTTCATCGCATCTTCTGCGCACCATGCTCGGCGATATGATAACCTGAATATTGTGCCCCTTAGATATATTCTGAATCGTTTTCGTTTTTTCCCGCAGAATGAGGATTTATGGTTTGTGCTTAATGAATCTGTGCGCAAACTTGATGCTCAGCAGCTGGTACAACAACTGCGTAAACATCTATTTTGCCAAACTGCATTTCTTCAAGGTGCTCAACATCCGTATTTACTCCTCATTTGTCTCAAGAAACAGAGAGCCGTTTTTATCAATAAATAACAATAAAACATGTTGCTATCACGTTAGCTGCTTAGCCTATTCGAAAAACAGATGTTTTTCCAGGGCCAAATTTACATTCTGACCAACTCTAGAATATGCTCCCCACCCCCAAACCACACGCGCCACGCTGCCGCCGATTAAATAAAGACCACACCGTTGACGCACCCCCATCAAAAATAGAAACACTGGCACGCTGCCGGCAGCAATTTTGGTTCTGGCGCACTGGTCTGATCACTTGCATATGCAAGCGATCAAGCTGCTTTACGTACGAGTGTTGCGGGTATAGTGTACGTTGTACTGCCGCAGTCCAGTGTATGCCCACCAAAGAGCACTAAATACAGAGTAAACATACATAGAAGAAAGCGCTTGAGAGAAAGAGCATTGAGGCCATTTAGCAACTTATTCGTTTTGAACATTTGAATTATCATGCGATAAAGAAAATTGACATTGTTATTAAGGATGAACCCTACAAGCTCATGTTCAAGTTTCTTTGGCAATACTGTTTAATAACAGCTTCATCTTGCTCTTACTTAGCTAAGGAGCAGAAATCTAGAGGTATTCAGTGACTGTGAGACTGCCATATTCTTCTGGGACATTTTGAAGAGGTCTTGAAAGATATATTAGCCTATTAAGCCACACCAAATACGCTGTTTTCCTTTTGAAAACTCTGCTCAGCAATTGGATGTATTTTTATTTTGTTTACACTTGTTATGATACAGATCCATAGCTTATAGAGACTGTGATGATGGAATATCATCTGTTCATGACTGTTTTGCAGAAATTGTAGTCAAAGCGCTTGATGTGTACAAGACTAGTGACTGTGATGAAGATGTGTTATGGTTATTTTATTAACGCGTATGAATCGTGTATAATGTATGATTGTGAGACTATTTTCATCTGTGGTCACGGAGGCAATTAAAAAAGTGACCATGGCGCAATGGATAGCATGCCTGGTGTATGTGTTCGCGGACCCGGAGCTCATGGGTTTGGCTCCCGATGACGGAACATTTTTTCTTGTTTCCTGATTGTGCGTATATTTTGAACATCATTTCTGTGATGGAAATACCTAACTGAACTCTTGGTCAACCCTGGCATAAAACACTTTCTTGTTAAAATTGTAGAATATTGCAAAGTCATTCACAACGCCACACCGTTATGTTTTAAAATGTTGAATGCCGATTACCGAGGAGTAATTATCGGACTGTCATCACTGTTTTTGTCTTATGCCCTATTCAGATTCGGGATGTTGACCTTCGTGCGAGGTACGCTAGTCATTTTCCCACTCGCATGATAAGATGATTGATCCATCGTCAGTGGTGAATCCGTACAATGCAAATTTAAAATGTTGAGAGAGTAACCTGAAACTAATTGGGTGAAGGTCTACTGAGACGCAAATATCCATAAAAAAGCGGGCGCGCTCTATTACTCTAAATTTACACTTGAAGTTCCCCAAAAAGCAATCACGTTCGCAATAAAACTTTTCAAAATTGGTCCACAATTTTTTTTAGTATTTCTTTAGTTTTGGGACTGGCCAAACTCACACTTTTATGTGAGGTGGAGCATAGTTATTTTTCTTGAATAAACACATCCATATACTGTTAAAGACCCAAATTTAGGAGTCTCTTGATCTACTATTGTGTGCTTTGCACAGTTTTTACCCACCTGCACTCCGTTAATTTTTTCTGACTTTTGTAGTTCAGCGCGACAAAGAAAAACCGGGAAAAATTGAATACTTGGAATTAGGCGATGCTTTAAAATTTTCATGAAGCTCAGAATCCTATATCGCTGCCTACAAAAAAAAAACAAAAAAACCTCAGCTGCAACTGGAATGATGTTTTCGATCACTTTGCCTCCGCCTATACTTACTCGCAGACTTGCTCGATCGAGAAACCTGGTAGAGCCGATAGTGAGGCGACATAACATGTTAACGTTTAGGAAGGTTTTCCACAAGTACGTACAATATCATTGGAGTGGTAAATTAACTCCTTCGTCATCGCGCATCCGCACGTATGAAGCAACGTTGATGATGTAGTGATACGGCGATGAATCGTGCGCAAGTGTAATTAAGTGGCACAACAGGTGGTCTGCTGAACCTCTCAACTCGCGAAGTGTGTGTTGTCCAGGAAGTAGCACAGCACTACCCATAGTAACCGTTGTGCTGACGCCGTGAATGTTGTCACTATTGCAGTGCAGAAGAGTTTGCAGGCTTTCATCAACCTCGTAAGTCAAGCTCCAAGGTTCGCAGTGGCCCACGTGGGTCAGGTTTAACGAGATCTCATGAGGTGAAGATGGCCTTGTACCAGTGTTGTGAACGCAAATTGAAATGCGCCGCAGAAACGCCATATCCATTGTCTAATCGAGTAGTCGGGAAAACCTGCATGCAGTGTTGAAAGAAAACTTTCAATCCAGCCCCTTGTGACGACTTGCGTCAATTAGGAGAAATATTTTGTGATACTGAAAGATACACCATCTAGAAGAAAACAACACCGTAAGAAAGCACCCGCACCAATTATTCTAACTACTTTAGTGTAAAAGTTTGTTCAATGTGAACTGAAACAGTAGTGCATTAACAGACACGCAATAGCAAAAAAAATTGCACAATACCGCCGAGTTTCGATCAATCATCAAGTGCAATGTCTACTTCTATTCAATCCAGTGCAATTAAACGTGCGACAAAACCATAGTGATGCACAATACTACCACAACAAAGGACGTCAGACAACCGCCACCTTCGCAACAATGGTTGGAAGATAACACCGTCAATCTTCATAGAAAAAAAATATTGCCCATGAGTGCCATAGGACTGTGTGATGTTTTCGTACCCGTTAAGGTTCGGAACAAAGTACTTGTTTTTCTGGCTAGAGTGTACTAGAACATGTGAGTGCCCAGACCTCGAGCTTCGAAAAGTGAAGCCCAAAAGGGTCAATCCGCTTTTGGCGCTACACTCACTCATCTGCATGGTGTCGTTATTTCAAGAGTTGCTCACGGCTGCGCCGAAAAGGTGCAGGGTTGAATGCTTACTTCCCAATTTAAAGGCCTGAGCTCAAATTGCAGCTGTATATGGCGCATTTCTATTCTTAGTGTCACTTGTACAGCTGTCGTGGTTTGTCTTCGTTTCCTAAATTTAGCTTCCGTTGATATGTATTGCTACAAAATGTTACGCAAATATCAAGAAAAAGAAACGTGATCGCAAGCATATTTATATTTAGCGCCACCACAGGGCATTCAGTAAAAACGTAAAGTATGGCCTTCGATATTTCAGCAAATATGAGACAGTTCCTTCGGGTGCTTGGCTTTTTCACAAATCTGGGTTGAATTGCTATGTATTGCTACAAAATGTTACGCACAATCTGAAGGAGAATAAATGTGACAGCTAGCATGTTTATTTGCAGCGCTACTGCATGGCATACAGTAGAAACTCGAAGTATGGCCTCCGAGAGTCTCGCAAGTATGACACTCGTCCTGTGTGTTCTTGATAAGCTGCTTGCTATCTCCAGCTGCTGGCTCACTTCAAATAAATAAAGAAATGCAAGTTTACGACCTTCAGTCAGCGGGAAACCGCAAGGGTGTAAATACTCTAAAGCAATCGATGTTCTGTCGGGTTTTTAAGTGTTTCTCCTGACCCTAAAGAAAAACTTTTTTTGGCTGGAATCTTTAAGAAACGATCACAATGTGCACGTAAACAAGTTGACGTGTTGACATTGTGGATGCAAGTGTAGTATTCTTGTACAAGTAATTCTGCGATCCTATACCCTAACAAATATTGAGCAAAAATTAAGCTGCGTGCATAGATAAACTAAGTAAAAAAATTAAAACGAGTACTCACGCTCATTATAAATACGCCCGCTGTCAATTTTTTACTTCAAATTTAGCGTTAAATTTGGCAGCATTGCGTAACAAGTAAACCTAGAATTACCAAAGAATTCAACTATAAGGAAAGATAATGAAAACCCGCCATCTGCAGCTGCGATTCGAAGACAATTCTTTTGCCCGTGAACCACTTTAGTGGAGTCGGGAGCAACTCCTATGACTCACACCGCAGTGCCACTAGCGGGTGGACCCTGTTTTGGCTTCACTTTTTGTGCATTGGTGCGGCGGCCATTCCGGGCGCTCTGCTGTTCTAGTAGACTCTAATGTTGCTTCGCATTCCCAAATTTCCTCGAAGAAAGAAGATAGGCCTGATCCAGGAAGCAATGAATACCTGGTGAGGCTTAGAGAGCTTCAACCGAAAGTAACCAACACCGCAGTTGGTGTTAACCGCTAGGTAAAACACAGACATCTCCATGAATTGTTAGGTTTTGTTATTCCGAAACAACGATACCGTTATCGAAAACACCTTATTGGAGGGCTTCAGAGCTTGCGACCATCCGGTATTTTTTAATGTGTGCCTGAATGCCTGTGTGCTTACGAACATCTAGTGTTCTGGCTCCATCGAAATGTTGTCGTGGCAAGAATTTGATTCGGCGTCCTCGTGTCAGCAGTGCAGGAGCACAACCACAAGACCACCACGGTTCGTGCAGAAAGTTGCAAATCGGGGCTGTGTTCACCACTGTGCACACACGACTTCATGCCCCCGCATAACTTTGGCGCATACATTTTTTATATTAGAAAAAGTAGACGTACCCAGCTGCTGCTGCAACTGCATATTCGAAGTATTTTTGTTGCAAGTTATATCGCCGTAGATGTCTCTAGTGGCTGAAACGTGTTGACAGACACACACCCAGTTTTTATATACTAAAGTGAGGCATTTTGGCGCAGCACATCTTCACTAGACCATATGATTCGTTGCAGAAGGTCGGGGAGCAATAACCGAGCAGGTACAAGCGCCCTGGTGTACCAACCACGAATGTCATCGTCTTCCTGCCTGAGAGTGGTACCCTCTGCCCTTCAGAACAACGCTGATCTCCTTGATTACATTTATTTCCCCTCCGGAAAAAAGCCACCCTGGTGACTTAGGGACAGAAAACTACAGTATACGGTCGCAGTAAGGCTTCAGCCGGTCTATAGGTGCAGAGTCTCACGTCCGAGCCGCCATTGATCAGGAGACGCCGCAAGTGGCTCAACAATATAATTGACTGCTGATGATTGCTAGACCTTTGTCCTGCAGTGGACGTAGTCAGGCTGATGATGATGATGATGATGATGATGATGATGATGATGATTGCGAGACTACGCAGTAGGGGCCATGGTACTTTGAGAGAAGTTTTGATGAGAAGAAGATTGGTGCCCACACGTTCAGCGGGTCTAGCAGGGATGGTAGAGGCTGCAGAAGAGCTAGTGATTGGGGAGGAGTATGTTTGCGCCGTTGACATACGACGCAGCAGCATGTGTAGCGGCGGGCGAAGTGGTACATTCCACGCGAATAGTAGCGTTGGTGCAGGCGTGTATAGGTTTTCCGTACTCCCGCATGTCCACAGTGTGGTTCAGGATAAAAAGATGTGCATATACCTGACCTAAGTTGTAGGGGAATAACGAAGAGCTATCTGCGCGCTTCGGAAATGTAATTCCGACAATATAGCGAACTATCTCGAATGCAAAAGTGATGGGTTTACCCCCGCAGTTTTTGAGGGATGGGGTGTAATGATTGATTGATTTGTGGGGTTTAACGTCCCAAAACCACCATATGATTATGAGAGACGCCGTAGTGGAGGGCTCCGGAAATTTTGACCACCTGGGGTTCTTTAACGTACATCCAAATCTGAGCACACGGGCCTCAACATTTCCGCCTCCATCGGAAATGCAGCCGCCGCAGCCGGGATTTGAACCCGCGACCTGCGGGTCAGCAGCCGAGTACCTTAGCCACTAGACCACCGCAGCGAGGCGGGGTGTAATGAAGGTTGACATAATAAATCTATAGGAGAAGCAACGTTAGGGTTTTTGTGTTGCTTTCTGGTGACCTCTGTCTGTTACAGAGAGTGAGGACACGTTCAAGAACAATGTACACTGGCAGGAATCGTCAGATGGAAGGGGTGACGGGGGTCAGCGCGTCAGCATGACATTGTTTACGTTCACACTTGCAAACGGCGCAAATGTAGTACTCCTGCAGACGTAGTGCTGAACGGGCGGGTCAGCCAGATGGATCTTTTAAGGAGGAAAGCCACTTTAATGCGTGCTGATCTGTGACTACGCTATATGGGAGTTGAATTCAGGTACTTTACGGTGTTGAAGAAACCAACCTTCACCACTTGGCGCCCGAGACGCACCACCCAAAGTGGTATAGCAAAGTGGGAGCAGAAACGTGCTACTGCTATTCTAATCGCGGCGATTAACTTGCTGGTAGCTTGAAGATGAAGCAAATACGCTGAAAAAGTTCTATTAGGCTGAGATAAACTTCATTTACACACTGTACAAAAGTTACAAAAGTACAAAGATCAAAGTTGCAAAGAAAGATAAGAAAAAACTCTTTGAATTTGAACCGTCTTCTGTAGGACGATCCTATGCGATTCGGCAGAGCCGATGGTGCCTAACGCCGCAAGCCAGGTTGCGAACGCTTGGCAGAGCTCCAGCACCTCTTCTTATGACCTCGGTGCATGGCCTTCGAGATTGCGGGCGTGCGGCGTTGTTCTCTCCGGCCGTACCAAACGCCGCGCTACCCAGCAAAACCAGCGATTTTTGCCTCACGCGCCCACCCACCACTAGAGGGCACGTTTAATGTGGGTACTTCAAGCAGCGGAGATCACGGCAGAAGGCAGAGCGCACAGGATTTCACTGTGTGTATTTTTTTTCTCGTGTGTGAGCAAAAATCGCCGACAAATCTTCTGGCTCTACTGAAGGCGAGTATGTTTTCCATTACTGCTTTTATTTTGGGCCAATTTCCGAATAAAATTATAACAGCTGAATTTTTTGTATAGATCATTGCAAGGAGGTATTATTGCGTCTTTGACAGAAGATTCTAGCATCCCCCCTTTTTGGAGACGTGTACATAGTCAAAAACTGGGCTAACTGTCTTCGCTGAATTACATTGCCTTCTAATCAATAGATATTATATTACTATTTTATAGTGTACCGATCATTATAAGGTGGTCAACCGAGTTCCACTCACGCTCTAGAAAATCAAGTGCCGTGATCATGCCCCTTATGAATGGGATAAGTAATTTTGCCAGAATATAAGCTAAAAGCTGCAATTAGGTGATCTACCTTTACTCCCCACTTCTTTCACAGTGAAAGTGCTTGAGTTAGCATTGTCCCCTTAATCGTTTTCTGTCTTTTGGTTATGTATTGGTAGCAGAATTGCAATATCAGTATCGCGTTCATTTACAGTAATATCGACCTCATCCAAATCGAAGGGTCGCACAATCGGCCGAACGGCGTCTTTCAGAAAACCAAGTATTCGTGTATGTAGACTACTGGAGAAAACGCGCAGTGTTTCATACC